TGTGGGTTCTCCAGCATAGAGCCCCTGCCCCTCCAAAGGAAAGCTATCTGAAGAACCCGTGGAATGTGTTGGAGTGAATGGCTGAGGGCATGAGGAAGCTAGATGGATACAAAAACCAGGGAGAAGATTGATCCTTTCAAAGCTCAGGCCACTGTCAGGTCAGAGAAGCCCCTGTGAACTGAAGAACTTGTCATCTGCCACTCACCTTAATCTTCCAGTTTGAGGGAACACCCCAGCACTCCTCTCAGGACACCCCCCAGTTTTTCTTCCCATCACAAGGGTCCCATCCTCAGTTGCCCTCTCTGACATTTGGTCACCTGAACAAGGACCTTAATCATGCTGACTTTGTAGTTCCTGGAGCTCATGTGTGCAGAATAGAAACAGGTGGGTATTCTGGAATCCCACACTGTGGATGGGTGCCATGGTGGGCACCACGTCCTGTAAGTGAGGGCAGAATCTGCTCTCTGAGCTACACTGGGGTAGCAGGTGGTGTTCTCATGTGCATTTTAGGTCGCAATTGGGCATTGAACCATGAAGGAAATATGACAGCGCAGCCTCCTGGGCATCACCATGAGATCTGCAGATATAGTCTTGCTCCTTCTTTCCTTTTGCTCTTGGGAATGGAGTCACTCATGACATATGGGGTCACATTCCCCATGACTGACCCATACATGATGCTGAACTGGTGAGGGCTCTTGTCACAGGAAGAAGGAAGAAATGACATAGGTTTCCATGTGGGTTGAGAAATGCCACCATCCAGTTTCACCAGGGGGCTATAGAGTCACAGCAGAGGAGAGCCTCAAATGGGTGGAGTCATGCTCAGAGTCCCACTGAAGCAGGTTCAGGCTCTTCTCACGTGTGAAGAAGGTGGGCATCAGTCCATCTAACTTGTCAGTCTAATGGCCCAGAGCCCTGTGGTGTCCACACAGTCATGACCTGTTTTAAGTCAAAATAGTGCTACACAGGTTTTTCAATGACAGAATAACATAAACCTCTTGAAATCTTTTAAATGAAAATGTATGATATGAAAATATGGAAATAAGGAATGAAATGTGGACAAAAATAGAGAATGATAAATATGGGTTAATAATAAATAACAGGTACACTTTATTAAGAAGAAGAAAAAAGTACAAAAAATACTTAAATAGACCAATTTCCTTAGAAAAAATACACAATGTTATTAGGAACTATTCCTCAAAAAGGCATAAAATATAGGGAGCTTCAAAATAGAAACGAATGAAAATAAAGATACAACCATTCAAAATATTTTGGAAACAGGCATAGCAGTCCTAAGAGGGAAATACATCGCAATATGAGCATCCATCAGAAATTTAAAAAAAAAACCCAAATACACAAGATAACCTCTCACCTAAAGGAACTGGAAAAGAACAGCAAATAAAACATACACCAAGCAGAAGAATAAAGCAGAACTGAATGAAGTAGACCAGAAGAACTGTAGAACAGATCAACAAAGTGAGATGTTGGTTCTTTGAAAGAATTAATAAGACACATAAACCATTAGCCATCATTATTAAAAAAAGAGAGAAATGACTCAAATTAAAATAAATGAATGAAAAAGGAGAGATCATAACCAATACCAAGGAAATACAAATGATTTTAAAAACATATTATGAGCAGCTATATGGCAATAGATTAGGCAATCTAGAAGAAATGTACACATTTCTGGAAAAATGCAAATTACCAAAACTGTAACAGCAAAAAATAGAAAACCTGAATAGGCCAATATCCAGGGGGAAATTGAAGCAGTCATCAAAAATCTCCCAAGACACAATAGTCCAGAGCCAGATGGCTACCCAAGGGAATTCTATCAAACTTTTAAAGAAGAAATAATGCCGTTTTTACTAAAAATGTTCCAAAGAATAGAAAGGGACAGGATACTTCCAAACTCGTTTTCTGAGGCCAGCCTCACCTTAATTGCAAAACCAGACTAAGACCCCACAAAAAAGGAGAAGTATAGATCAATATCCCTGATGAACACAGATGCAAAAATTCTCAACAAGATACTAGCCAATAGGATCCAACAATACATTAAGAAGATTATTCACCATGACCAAGTGGGATTTAACTGGGGAATTCAAGGTTGGTTCAACACTCATAAAACAATAAACATGATACATCACATCAACAAGAGAAAAAAACAAGCTTCATAGGATCCTCTCAATAGATATAGAGAGAGCATTTGACAAAATACAGCATCCATTCCTGATCCAAACACTTCAGAGTGTAGGGATAGAGGGAACATGCCTCAGCATCTTAAAAGCCATTTATGAAAAGCCCACAGCCAATATCATTCTCAAAGGGGAAACACTGAGCACCTTCCCCTAAGATCAGGAACACAACAGGAATGTCCACACTCACCACTGCTATTCAAGATAGTACTAGAAGTCCTAGATTCAGCAATCAGGCAACAAAACGAAATACAAGGCACTCAAATTGGCAGAGTATGTAAAAAACTCCCTTTTTGCAGATGACATAATACTGTGCATAGAAAACACAAATGACTCCACCCAAAGATTGCTAAACTCATACAGCAATTTGGCAGTGTGGCAGGATACAAAATCAATGCCCAGAAATCAGTGGCATTTCGATACACTAACAATGAGACTGAAGAAAAAGAAATTAAGGACTCACTCTCTTCAGAGACTTGGAAAAAATCATCTTAAGATTTGTATGGAGTCAGAAAAGACCCCGAATAGCCAGGGGAATATTAAAAAAGAAAACCATACCTGAGGGCATCACAATGCCAGATTTCAGGTTGTACTACAAAGTGTGGTCATCAATAGCCAAACTGTGGAAGGAGCCTCGGTGTCCATCGAAAGATGAATGGATAAAGAAGATGTGGTTTATGTATACAATGGAATATTACTCAGCCATTAGAAATGACAAATACCCACCATTTGCTTCAACGTGGATGGAACTGGAGGGTATTATGCTGAGTGAAGTAAGTCAATCAGAGAAAGACAAACATTATATGTTCTCATTTATTTGGGGAATATAAATAAAAGTGAAAGGGAATAGAAGGGAAGGGAGAAGAAATGTGTGGGAAATATCAGAAAGGGAGACAGAACATAAAGACTCCTAACTCTGGGAAATGAACTAGGGGTGGTGGAAGGGGAGGAGGGCGGGGGGTGGGGGTGAATGGGTGATGGGCACTGAGGGGGGCACCTGACGGGATGAGCACTGGGTGTTATTCTGTATGTTGGCAAATTGAACAACAATAAAAAATAAATTTATCAAACTGTGGTCATCAAGACAGTGTGGTATTGGCACAAAAACAGACACATAGATCAATGGAAGAAATACAGAACTCAGATTTGGCTCCTCAACTCTATGGTCGACTAATATTTGATAAAGCAGGAAAGACTATCCACTGGAAAAAAGGTAGTCTCTTTAATAAATTGTGCTCAGAAAATTGGGCATCCACATGCAGAAGAATGAAACTGGACCATTCTCTTACATCACACACAAAGATAAACTCAAAATGGATGAAAGATCTAAATGTGAGACAAGAATCCATCTAAATCCTAGAAGAGAGCACAGGAAACACCCTTTTTGAATTTGGCCACAGTAACTCCTTGCAAGATTCATCCATCAAGGCAAGAGACACAAAAGCAAAAATGAACTATTGGGAATTCATCAAGTTAAGAAGCTTTTGCACAGCAAAAGACACCATCAACAAAACTCAAAGACAACCTACAGAATGGGCGAAGATACTTGCAATGACGTATCAGATAAGGGGCTAGTATCCAAGATCTATAAAGAACTTCTTAAACTCAACACCAAAGAAACAAACAATCCAATCATGAACTGGGAAAAGACATGAACAGAAATCTCACAGAGGAAGACATAGACATGGCCAACATGCACATGAGAAAATGCTCCACATCCCTGACCATCAGGGAAATACAAACCAAAACCACAATGAGATATCGTCTCACACCAGTGACAATAGTGAAAATTAACAAGAGAGGAAACAACAAATGTGGAGAGGATGTGGAGAAAGGGGAACCCTCTTGCACTGTCGGTGGGAATGTGAACTGGTGCAGCCACTCTGGAAAACTGTGTGGAGGTTCCTCAAAGAGTTAAAAATAGACCTGCCCTACGACCCAGCAATTGCACTGTTGGGGATTTACCCCAAAGATTCAGATGCAATGAAACGCCGGGACATCTGCACCCCGATGTTTCTAGCAGCAATGTCCACAATAGCCAAACTGTGGAAGGAGCCTCGGTGCCCATCGAAAGATGAATGTATAAAGAAGATGTGGTTTATGTATACAATGGAATATTCCTCAGCCATTAGAAACGACAAATACCCACGATTTGCTTCGATATGGTTGGAACTGGAGGGTATTATGCTGAGTGAAATAAGTCAATCCGAGAAGAACAAACATGGTCTCATTCATTTGGGGAATATAAAAAATTGTGAAAGGAATAAAGGGGAAAGGAGAGAAAATGAGTGGGAAATATCAGTGAGGGTGACGGAACATGAGAGACACCTAACTGGGAATCGAACAATGGGTACTGGAAGGGAGGTGGGGGAGGTTGGGGTGAAGACTGGGTGATGGGCACTGAGGGGGTCACTTGACATGATGAGCACCAGGTAGTACGGTATATGTTGGCAATTTCAACTCCAATAAAATATAACTTAAAAAAAGAAAGGAAAGCTTTACAGGGAGGCACCATTTTGTGCCAGCATCCCTGGGGAATATGCTCTACTGCTGTCACCAGTAGGGATTAACTACCTTAGTGCCTGTATCCCTGCTTGGGAGCTATGGCCCCAGGACTGTGGCCCACCACCTCATCTGTCTCTGTCACTGGGCTTAGCATCAGTGTCATACACCTGATTGTAAGCTCCACAGAAGCCTCTCAATGATGAGGACCAGAGACAAGGGCCCAGGGGTTTTTGTGTCACTTCCTCCTTATCTGAGATGCTGTGGGCAAGTGAGGCTGCTCCCACTGCCATGTTGTATACCACAGTATTAGTCAGCCTCGTCCTCAGGCTGGGCTCCTGTGATGGTGAGGGCGGCTTTGTTCCCAGAGATGGATCCAGAGAAGCGATCAAGGACCACAGAGGGGCGGCTGTTTGTGTCATAGATAATCGTGCAAGGAGCCCGCCCTGGAGTCTGCTGAGACCAGCTGGGGTAATTACTTGTAGTGACTGACCCAGAGCTGAGGCCACAAGTGAGTGTGACTGTCCCTCCCGTAGACACTGACAGGGATGGCTCCTGGGTCACCACAATCTGAGAATAAACTCCTAAAACCAAAAAGAGAGAAAGGTGTTGTTATGGGAGACAAGGGTCACATGAATCCCTGCTTCTCTGTGCCCCCAACAGATGCAGAGTCCATTTCCCTGACCTGAGCCATAAGCAAGGAGCTCGAGAAGAAGCACCATCCAGGCCATGTTGGGGACCCTCACTGGAGTCGGGTTCCATGGGCTCTTCAGCTGGAGAAGGGTGTCCCTGGACCTTTTCATGACTCCACGCCTATGAGAATAAGCAAGTGCTTTATGAAAATCAGCTTCTTCTCTCTCCCTTCCCCAGGGTCACCCGCAAGTCACCTGGGAGATCTTGAAAGGGACAGATGCTGGGACCTCACACACACAAATGTCTGCAGGGTGACCTGGGACACAGACTGCCAGGAAGACATCTTTCTCTAAATCATCGACCTATGACCCTGGTGACCTCCATCCCAAAGTTCCTCTCTGAGTATCCTGACAGCTGTATGAGGAGATGGATACATTCTCCAACTCCTGGCCCGGCCTCTAAATCACCTCAAGTCTAACCCCTGTCTGGGACATTTTCTTCCCTCCCCAGGGACATTGCTCCTTGTCTCTTTGGAGGATCCTAGCAGTCACTCCTCCAGCCATGAGGACACTGGGATCTCAGAGTCCATGTGACAGATGTAACTATGGTGCTCTCCTCTTCGTTAATCAGGGACCATGTTTGCAGTAGACCAGGGCGAGCTGACCAAGGATGTCTCTTTATCAGAAATAAACCCAACACTCTGTGAACAAGTGAGCCTCATGGACCTTTTTGAACTCCATTTCCCATTGTGTTCTGCTGAGGATCAGAGGGTCCTGGAAGGCTGGGGAAGGAACCTGGAGAAGGAGGACTGGCAGGAGCATAAGGAGTCTCCAGGAACAGGGGAAGATGAAGCTCAGGCCTCGTGTTTGCCCAAGTGTTAGATACCAAAATGCCTGGCATTCATTTTGCAACTACTTGTAAATTGTTGTTTTGATAAATCATGCATGTTCCTTTTTCCTTTCTCTTCATCTTTGAGAGCCTGATCTCATATCAGAGAAAAATACTCATACTCATGAATTTCCTATTAAACTAAGGCATCCCTGACACTTTAGAAAACAATAGGTAATTTCACATCTATCAAATTTTGAGATGAGGAATGATATTCATACAAAGAAAAAAGAAAGAATGGGGAAAGCTAAAAACACAAACATTACCTATTTCCATAGATAACTATAAAATAGTGACATAAATGAGAAAGTCCAGTAAGAAATAACTACTGAAATGCTAGCACACAAAGGACTCAGGCACTTACTGCCTTTTTCATCAAGAGCACAATTGGAAGTCATAGATCGAGCAAGGGTCCCTGAGGGTGTCCACCTGGACACATTGCCCCAGGCTTTTCCCAGACACCAGCATCCTATTGACTTTCCAGTAGGGCAGATCAAGGTGGGGATCTGCAGCCAGAGCAGAACAGAGGGATTGATAGACTGGAGACAGAATCATCCAAGTCTCCAGGAGTCCTCTCAGGCATGAAGGTGATAGAGCAGACCCTGTGGGTCCTGAGTGAACCTACATGAGTCAGGCAGGAACTTCCTCTGGGCTGTCTTGTACCTCTGAGAGGACATACTGATGCAGGATGACCAGGGTGCTCTAGAGATCGCTGTGTCCCCTGTGGTGCATCCTGTCACATAACTGTTCTCTCCCACAGGGTGTCAGGGAACCAGGACTGGGAGCTCAGGTGCTGTACCCGGGTTGGGGCATCTGATGCATGGCTCAGTGCCTCTTCACATCTGCTCCCCTCATTCCATGTGCCTCCTCACTGAGAGACTGCACACAACTATTCTCAGCTCTGATCCTCCCAGGTGATCAAGGCCAATTTTCAAGAAGCTATGTCATTTCTAGTAGCCTATATTTTGAGTCATTTCTGCAATTCATAGCTATGTTCATTAACGATATCTTCTTGAAATTTAAATCTGATACTCTGCTACGTTTCACTTGCTCCCGTGATTTGCTAGAATGAGAAAATGCATTGACTACATGCCTTTTGTTTTAATATATATTTTAAACCCTTTGTTTCAACAAAGACTTAAATGCTGTCAGTGTCAAAATCAGCCCAATTGGACCCAGGACCCTGGAAGGTAGGTCAGATGTTGGCAGATAGAATTCATGACCACCACCTCTACCCAATGACAAAAGCAAGAAGCAGAGCCAGTTCCCCTCCTGTCCCCACCCTTTCTCCTTCCCCTAAAAGGAACTCTCTATTCATTCACTGAAGAGGTAAAGAGAAGATCCAGGCCATGGTAGAGAAGCCTCTGAGCTCTGCACTGTGCTCTGAGTGTTAGCATGGACATGGTCCCTTCCCAGGTGAGTCCTATTCTTTCCCCCAGGGAACACTGCAGTTTGAATTCATGAAGCAAATGTACTTTTATTGAATGATTGTCCTGTCCATCTGTCCTTCCATGAAAATCGTGTCTGGACCTGTTACTCCATGATGCAGTGGAGTTTGATGAAATATGAGAGCTGTTTGATTCAGAGCTGAGAGTTCTTGTGGCTCCAGGGCTGCAGCTGCAGGATAGTGTCACCCACAGTGAGGACCCTGCTTGCACTAGGGTGCAGGAGCCAGTGATAGATGTTCTTGTTCTTCCTCATCCAGACCCTGAGCTCTCAGGAGCAGCCCAGCAGCACCCACTGCTGTCTTCAGACACCAGGCCCCTCAGCCCTTGTCACACTCCCCAGCCCTCCTAGAAGGGCCTCTGACCTTTGCAGTCAGACCTTTCTGATATCACACCCAGGACAGTATAATGAGCAGGTCAGCTCTGTGAGGTTGAGCCTTTCATTTTTCCAGGGCATCAATGCCCTCATTTAGACAGCTAAGTGGAATATTTATGTCACAGTGTGTTTCAGGATTCCCTGACAGTGAAGTTGCATCTGCCTTGTCCCTGGTTTCATTACTGGGAAATAATGCTCTTGAAACCAGCTCAAGATTTACAGTCTCTAGCGAAGCTCATTGGTTCAACTTTGATAATAATTCTACCTCAGTTACCCTTATAGGCTGACTTATTTGCTTACTGTTGGTGTCAGGGTCTCCTGTTCTGTTCACCAGCCTCTCTTGGATTTTAATCTCTGTCTTTTGCAAGGAGAGTATCATGCTGTCAGGGACAACATGACCTTTGTCATTGATAACTAGTGTGGGTTCTCACTTATTCTAGGATATTACCCTTAAGCAATTATTTTGTAATGAATCTCTGATACATTTCAGATATTTTGGGTCTACTTGTATAATTTTGCTCAGTACTAAGGTTGACATTAAATAACACTGTTATAAATGGTCTATAAAATTGATATTGGAAGCCTGGTTGGCTCAGTATGTGAAGTGGCTGCCTTCAGCAGGTCATGATCCCAGAGTCCTGGGATAGAGCCCTGCACTGGGCTCTTTGCTCAGTAGGTGGTCTGTGACTCCTCTCCATCTGATCCCCTCCCTGCTCTTGCTCTCTCACTCACTCATTATCTCAAATAAGGAAATAAAATCTTTTAGAAAAATTAAAATGATACCAACTCATCCTCCATTTCACTGCCACTTACTTCCTGAAGAGATAGCTGATAACACTCTTGAGGATGTGCTCTAGTAATTTATGTCCACACACTCCCACAATACACACACATACACAACACATATTATTAAATGAAGTGATCTGATTTTTTTCTGTAGTTCCATTGCTCCATATGAAACATAATCAGTGTTTTTTGAACCAGCATTAGGATGTCTCTCAGTTTGATTCATGGCTTATCTTTCATTATTCTATAGGAAACTTTACCATAATTTCACCACATTTCCACAGAGAAATATTCATGTTGGCTTCAATTATGTTTTTTTAAGATTTTATTTATTTATTTATGAGACACAGGCAGAGGGAGAAGCAGGCTACATGCAGACAGCCCGATGCAGGACCGGATCCTGGGTCTCCAGGATCAAGCCCTGGGCTGAAGGCAGTGCTAAAACCCTGAGCCACATGGGATGCCTGGTTTCAATTATTTGTTATGTAACATGTCTTAACTAGGTGTACCTGTGTATTTATCTTGGAGTGTATTAGCTAGATAATTTTCAGTAGAACTGATTTCAAAAATATATAATGCTGATGCAAATCATATATATATTTAATATTTGATAGAATTTAAAATTGAAGTTCCAAAATTGGTTTACAAATTTATATTCTCACCAGCAATGTACAAGAGTTCCTCTTTCAATTCTGACATAGTACAGTGGATAAAATCAAAATTATATCTGCCAATTTGATAATTGAGAAATAATTTCATTGTTCAACCTCATTCCAATTATTAGTGACTTTTCACAAATCTATTTATTGAATTTTAGATATATTATTTTTCTAGGGCTGCCATATAAAGCACCACAAATTAGGTGGCTTAAAACTTTAGAAATGAATTTCTCCTGTTCATACACAGTTCCAAAGTTTGTAGGGCCTTTCATGCCACGTTCTGTCTGGACCCTCCAGAGGAATCCTAGCTTCTCCGTGACTGTGAGAAATTTGAGGAAAAATTTGGGGTTCCCATTTGGTGGTTTACAGAGGCTGAACCACCATCTCTGCCTCCACCCTCCCACGAAGCCCTCCTTGTCTCCATCTGACTGTCTTATTACAAGAACACGAGTCAATTGAATTAGGAGCCACCCACCCCATCATCATCTCATCTTTACTAATTACATCTGTAGGGCCCCTTTCCAAAGTAAGGTCACTTTCTTAAGCCTTGAGGTCTACAACTTCAAGGAATGTTCTTTTGGAAGATACAATTTAATCTAGGATATAGGGGAAGAAGAATCCTTTCTGAGATGCTTATAATTGTTAAATTTTTTAATATGCAACACAAATGCTTTGCACTGAAATGAATCCTAATAAAGTAAACGTTAAGACAATACAAAATGAGGATTTCTTCCATTTATTTTTATCTGTCTTTGAAGATTGATAATGTTCCTTTTTCTAGAAGAAATGTACTTATCCTCAATCTATAATTCTGATGCAATAGAAATTTTGTAATATGAAATACCTGAATTTGGCCTTCCTCTCTTTTTCCCCTTTAATACTTTTTTTATATTTTTATAATAAATTTTTTATTGGTGTTCAATTTGCCAACATACAGAGTAACA